GGGCATGCAGACATTCAAATACAAAAGAAAGCAAACGTTTTGCATCATGTTCACTGGATGCTGTTCCCAAAGAACAACACACAGAGGTAGCATGCTTTTTCTTATTGGTGTTATTTCAAACAGCCTAAAAACCTCCTCTTTTCTCTGGTGGCAGGCTAGTATCTCTACTCACTAATGTTAAGTGTTTGCACCTGCTTCAATGCAGCTAGGATTTTCTTAAGAATAGAGGGCTGAGTTGATCATACCTCTTTAATAAATTAATTTAATTAAGCAGTCAAACACACTGACTTCTGTATCTTTGGCCTCTGCTGACATACAGGCTGTGCACTGTATGCACATGCATGTGTTTCTTACGAATTCCTCACAGTGAAAACCAGATTTAAATTAAAAAATAGGTGTGCTGCACGGCCCACAGTACTTAAATTAGTTTTAAAATGGATTAACATAGGATACTACTTCATTATTGCTCAAGTTAATTCTCAAAGTTTTTTCAAATTTTATATATGACTTCAAAGGTTGGTTTATTACAGTATTTTTAAAATTTATTTCTGTGGTTGCTTAATGGAGTGGAACACATACCACAAAAGTCCCCGTAATACAATTCAACAGAGACAACATACTATGCCTTCATTAATGTATCGTGCTACAGCACAAAGCATACCAAACTCCAAAAGCTATAGGTTAGTCTACTCTCCTTTAAGCATGCATTTGCAAAACATCCATTTACTGTTTAAGAGACATAAAAAAAAAACCCAGTAACATAAGAACTGTGCTACTTAATTTTAGCTCATGGAAGAGCCACCTCACTTTCTTACATTAAGATTTTGATTTGAAAAGTCTAAAAAAACCAAAGCTACTTTAAGTTTGTGCATATTCTTAAAATTGCTCCTTACTAAAAGTTCCTGCATCAAGTGTGCACTGCAGTTTTATTGTCATGACCTGATTTTCAAAAAAACAACCCAAGCCCCACACAGTGACAGGATATAGAAGCTGTTGGCATCCAGCATCTCTGAAAGTCAGGACACAGCTTAAGTGATTGTGCAGAAGAGGACATTTCCCTTGCAGTATAAGCCAAGTGTTCATTTATGCCCAGTAACAAGACCACAGAAGTTTCATCTAATCCAATAAAATACACTTTTACAAGTCATAAAGGATTTCAAGGATAACACCAATTGACCAGGCTTGAGTTTCACAGCTGAAAGGGCAATATTGTCCATTTTCATTGGTCAGTTCTGGAAGCCCTTTCCAGGATGATCTGATTAAAAGAAAAAAAAAAAATCAAAGTAGTATTGTAGTTAGATTATACATGGAAATTAAAAGAACACTGCATTATAAAACCTTTTAGAAGATTATCTCAGCAGAAAACTGAAAACCATGACTAAAGGTCTTTTGTCCTACAGGCACAGAACGTTCTCTAATAACTGATATATAATTCTTTTTTTTTTCCTGCAGTTGGGTATTTTAGGTTTTTTTGTGGGGGTGCTTCTCCTTCATAGTGGACTCTGCTACTAATAACGTCTGAACTTACACTACTGGCATGTTGCTCCTGTTTCTCATTCAGTTTTGCAGCTGCAAGAATACAAATGATCTTTGAGGTAACTGAGTGGTGTTCAAACTACACCTGAGACTGGATTATGGTGCTAAAAAGTGGTAACAGCTGGAAGACAGCATGACTACATTAACCCATTTTTTCCCTCCACAGGAATAAAACCCCACACAAACTAACATACGTACAGAAATACTCGTAAGTTGAGTCTGTTGCTACATCACTAATTCTGCACTAAGTAAGTATTAAGACAAAAACGAACACAGAGTGCTACCAAACTGCAAGTTATTTGCTAATGCTACCAAAAAAGACACTAGGACAAGACACTGAGCAAGACAAAAAGTTGCTTAACAAATCTCTTGTCTTCCTCATGGTCAGACAAACTCTGTCACAACCAGTCCCACTGAGTTACTCTTATGAGTACAAATAAATGCATATTTTAAATACTGTAGAACAGATTATATGGAAGAGAAATCAAGAGCAACATGTTTCTTTTGTTTTCAGTTGTCTCAAATCCTTAATAATTAAGAATATAATCAACAGAAAAATGGAAAAACGAGCCCGGGTTTGGCAGTTTGCTTTTTAAGATTAAGAAATCAAAATGCAAAGGAACACTAAAGGGCTTTAAGCAAGTTCCTCTGGCTTCTTAGAATGTCAAGGTTATTAAGATTCTGAAACACTGTCATACTAATTTCCTTATTTATAACACAAGAAATCCTAATATTTTCCATCAACTCATCTGCCACAATTTTAATCTGTCACTACTAGCCCTTTAACCACTTTGTTTTGCAGGTTGTTTTGAAATACTTTCATTTAAAAAAAAAGCCCTCAGTTTTTTTTCTGAAATTCCCTTTTTGTATGAAATTAGATCCTCATTTTTATGTAAGGTTTATTTCACCCAGACTTCACATGTGTAAGTAATCAGTAATTCTGAACTCTATAAAAAGCATGACATCTCAGACGTACTTGAAAACTGACTTGAGATATACAACAGTGCATACAGGAGTGAACTTTATATGTAGAAAACAGATGCTGTTTGTATTATAGATCTATACTTTTAAATGCAATTGGATAGTGGATACCACTAGCTTGAATGAGTATTTTGAATCTGTGTTAGTTGGTGTCTTACCTTTCAAGGTGAACATAGTGGCGAGAAAGAACATTCTTAATCATAACTACAGTTTTTGCATATATCTCTGGACCAATCAACTTTGAGAAGTACAATTTGGCACGAAGAAAATACCCAATTGGCCACAGCCATTCCTAAGCAGAGAATGAACAAAGATTATTACTATTATTGTAGCTATCAGTTTGAAAAGGTGACAAAGGTGACATCTAAAATGGAAGAAATTGGGTCTTACAGGTCCTTGGTGATAATTAAAACCTCTGGCTACGTTATAGTTGTCATTGTCAAGAGCATTATCATATACTCCACAGTAAACCATATCGCTGCAAGAAAGAAAAAACAAATTACACAAAGCCTTAACAAAAATGGTATGTAAAAATGGAAAGCAGAAGTCAGCCAAAAATTTGTCATGGCATTTACATTTAATGATGGTTAAGCTCAGGAGGTCTCCACCAGGTTCTGTATTTTACATGCAAATAAACTTCCAGATACAGTTTTAACTACTAAGAAAATGGTTAAAGTCTTGGAATCACTTGAATTAATAATTTTCCCCTTATGCTTTTACTCAAACTGTAGTGCTGTGTGCTGTATTGTATATATGTATGCATCAAGATGTAAATTCAACATCTTTTATGATACCAAATGTGACTTGCTTACTGTGTGGCAACCAAAACCACCCAGTGATTGCTTACATAAATAAAATCAATTGCGTAGGCTTTTAGAACAGCACAAAATAGTTGTTCTGGAAGTATTTATTGCAGCTTTATTCCAAAAGTATATACGAGGATTTTAACAACGGAAATACTACCACCATGTGTCACATAATTCCTCCTGCTGTGTTTTGCACTTATTCTTGTATCTACTATACTTACTCTGGGTCTAAGGTTTTCAGGCCTAATGGACCAAGCAGCTTTTCCTCTGCTATCTTCAGAGCTTTCCAAGCTTTCTCAGGTGTGAACAACTCAGGGGCCTAATAAAATAATCAAGATTTAATGAACAAACTGTGCAAGTACACACATACCACTGTATACAAACACAGAAGCTCACAAACTGAATTATTCAGTATTACAGAATCAACTTCTGGAACCTACAAGTGAGAATAAGCAAGAGGACAGAAACTATCCAGCATTTAAAAAAAAATAAAATATTAAATTTACATTTTATATAAACTTGCCAAGTATTACTACTGAAACTCTTTGCAAATCAGATAAAGACAACACTCAACCCATACCTTTTAGATAATTTGATGGGAAAAGCGGCCTCCCAGATTTAACCTTAAAAGACATTCTGCATACAGTGAACAAAATTATCCTAGCAACTGGACGGCAACTTCATTTAGGCACAGCCTGTCAAGCATGTATTTTTAGGAGACACTCCAAGATGGACCAATGTTAAGAGCATAGAAAAGAATAGCTTTCAAGAAGTTATTGTAATCAATGCACGTTCCTGATACACCACGCAGATTAATCTTACAATGCAAACTTAGCTCAGTAATAAAGAAAATTTTAAGTGCAAATGCTTCCCCGCTCCACTTACCACAACCATTGCTATTGTAAAATTTGGCCTGAGCTGGTAATCACACCAAGGGCTTGAAGCTCCGTAGCTGTCCTTATAAATTCCACGTTTGTGGACAAGATTTGGATGTCTCTCATTAGGATCTGCTGGGTTCTCAGAGACAAAAAACAGCCTTTCAAAGTGTCCTTGAATCTTTCTGTTCCACTCATCATACGTGATAGTCTCCTCCTTTCCTGCAAGATGTTACATAAAGGATTTATTTTCTGAAAACAGCCACAGCAGTAACACCAGAAGTATGCTTATGTTTATTTTCACTGTCTTTTGTATTGAAGTTTTACTGAAGATATTCCTAACACAATAAAGGCCACAGTAGCATTGCAAAAAAATTATCCAAAGTTGAATTATACTGCAGATCAACTCCAACACACGCTGATCTTTCTTTTTACACAACATTTTCTAACACGCAGTTAGCTGGGAGCAAACAGCATGAGGTACTGTGATCTACAGTAAATGTTTAACTGAGGAATTTTGTAATTAGCATTTCAGCATGTCAACTCTTTCATAGTACTTGGTACACATGCTCTTCCTATTTTGGAGAGTTCAAAGCGAGTGTCAAAACGTTAGGACAAGTGACATTATCACTTTTAAAAGCTTTCTCTTCTGAAATTCCTGACACCTGATAAAACAGCAGCAGACTTAGGATCACCTCTCTCCAGCTGGTGATTCCCCACGCTTAGGCCAGTTCTACAGTTCACAGGAACAGCTCACTGAAACTTCAGGTGAGACTAGAAAAACGTCAGCTTTTAGTCAGCAGATTTGTGCTAGGAATATCTTCCTGACTGAGATACACATACATCTTAAATGAGCAATGCTTTTATGAAGGAACCTAAAATAGTCACGAATTATACATTACTTCTATACTAGGTGAGTACAGGAGTATTACCTGTTTTTCTTAAACTACAGTTGGAATATATCAAAAAGGACATTACTACTAAAATTGAAATACAGTATTGCCAGAAGAACAAAAAGCCTAGAAACTCTAAGGCTATTTTTAATAAACAAGGCACAGATGGTGAATGGGAATTAAAGCTGGTTTTAAACTAGGTTAAGCAGTAGGTGAATGAAATTTAAAAACTCAGTTACACGAGATTAACAACAGAAGGCAGCATACACAATCAAACTGAATCTAAAAGAGTTGCTTATGATTCTGGAAAAAGAGAGAGAAAACAAGACCCATAAATATTGTTTCTACATCTATGGGTTATAACAGTGCTGTGTACTGAATTCCAAGTTGTCTTACTCTAGCCATAGATTTTAAGAAATCCTGAAGTGACAGAAACTAATGACCTAAGAATCTGTACTGTCTAGGACAGCTAGGAAAAAAGCCCAAAAACCTACATTCTCATTTCCTAAAATAGGATAAAAGAACCATTAAATTAATTGTTTTCCAATATTAACCTTTACAGAAGAGTAAATAGGCTTTATGCAGTATGCATATTCACTTGGGCTGGGTAAGCACAATGTAAAGAAACTTTGTAGCCAGAGCAGTATCCCTCTGAAACATAAGGGACACCTGAAGAGATTTATGTAAATATTCACAATAAGTGTTTTTCTGTGTTGCAAATATTAAGGAAGAAAAAAAGAGAAGTATCTTCTGTCATTTTAAGTAGCATTCTTGTAATGAATGCTGTGTATTATCATAATACATAACAATCCTATCACTTATACCCATTCTGAGAAATGGTACTTAGGGTCCAAAATTCCTCTGTAATCCACACTTTAATATAAGGAATAAAATACTTGAAATATCAACATGACAATATCAACTCTTAATTTTTTGTATTAACAGAAGATTTTAATCGTACATGATCCTTTCCCAAGTTTTTCCTTGTTTCCCTCTAAACCTTTTTGGGATGTCTGACAATAATCTCTGATGTTGTATGACCACCATTTTATTTTTTTAGTTGTTTTTTTACTCCAGTAACACAATTACAAGGTATGCTTGTCTTTACCATGTCTTTTCACAGTGACTCCACGGAATGGAAACACATTTTTCCCAGATAAATCCAGTAACCAGCGAACAGCCGACTTGCACAGGCCAACGATTTCCACAGCAGAGCCATCTCTAAAATAATAATAATGATTTAAAAAAAGAAAAAGTTACTTTAAGAAGTTCAATAAGTAATGGAAAAAATAGCCTGTATGTATCTTTAGACAGTTTAGTTTTCCCTATTCTCTAACTATTCCCCTATTTCTCCTATATGAGCATTCCAAAGTTCTACCGTACTGCAGTGAGAATAACAGCTCCATTATCTTCACCGCTGTTACGACTTTGTAAACTTCAGTCATACTGCTCTCATCCACATTCTCTCAAAAACAAAGGGTCCTGAGACACTCCAATGTCTCCTTGCAAGGCAGCTACTCCATCGCTGTGAGTTCTGGCTGCCCTTCTCTGTACCATCCTTTATTATGCCCTTCTTGAGACCAGCACTACATATGTAACACTCAAGGTTCAGTGCATCTTGCAGGTGCAAGGTTTCACAAAGAAGCAGAACGATGCCCTCTGTCTTGTTCTAAAAGCTTTTACCAATGACACCCAGAATTATGTTTTTAATTACCTTTTTTTAGCTGCTGCTGTACACTACGATATTATTTCAGGAAGCTACCAAAGACTCAGGAATTATTATCATAAATAATTTTAACATTTCCCCACAAAAGCCTGGATTTTGTACCGTGGAGTAGCAGGAATTCCTTTGTTGCGAGCCCTGTCGCTTTCTCCCATTTTATCCATCCAAGTGCCACAATTGAAGCGATTCCCTCCAAAGACAAAGCCAGTCTCACTGTCAACACCTGCAGTTACAGTAAAACCTGCCAAGCAAGAATATCACGTGTGACGTCTGTATTTTAAACACAAAAACCCAAGTGCCACCCAACCCCAGCCCAAGCCTCCCAAATAAACAAAAACCTCCAAACAAGATATCTGAGGTGGGTTTCTGAAAGCAACTGTACTTTTTAAGTCAACTTTTATTTAAAGATAACTTGTACTGCAACATCAGCTGCTGATAACAAACAATTAGGTACTTTTTAAACATTAAATGTGTTTATAATGTAGTAACATAGTTTTAATTGCATAAAACAATTATGTTTTCAAAAATACATGCAATAGCTAGAGGAAAGAAAATATGATCATCTCCCGACTTGTATAGCAAGAGTTCTATATATGTTACCTTCATCTCTCATGTTTTGATCTATCTGCGGACCAGCATTCCTTTCGCGGAAATTTATGCCTTCCATGTGGCGTTGCATTGCTTCCTGTATTACTTCATAAAGTGGCTGATCCTAGAATGATTGTGTGTTTGGATGAGACATGAAAGGCAAGATGAAAAATAAGCAGAAAGGCTCTATCTATTGTGCAAATAGTAGCAATTTTTAGCCTCTAACTTATGATACTTCAGAAGAAAAGCACTTAACATCTCCATTAGCCTCTTTGACAATGGCAACACATTGTATACTGTTTTTAATATGAACATATTTTTGTAACAAAAAGCAAAGAAAAAATTTAGAAGCTGATGGATTTTTTTCATCCATCCATCACGTGATGCGGATGCAGCAGGAAGTGCCTAAAATATGGAATTCTTGTGCTACAATCAAATTTTGCTATAAACAACAGATAGTGACAGGTTCCTGCAGCTAGAAAAGTTAAGTAATTTCATTAAAATTTGTAGTTGTGTTAAATACTTAAATCAGAAGTGATCTTTACCACAGTGCCTGGGGGCTGAGGAGAAGAGTCATCTCTTGGATACATCCTAGAAACAGGACACCTGAGAATGTCTGTTCCATTTGGCACAATTTTACAGTAGTCCTGGATGCACTGAAGCCACCACCATACAGCATCACGACAGTTGTATCTGGCATGTGTCCCCTGCCCAAGTAGGTTGGGAATGAGACCATGTCTTAAAGTCCCACCAAATGCTAAAATGATGTTTCTAGAACAAAAGAAAAACAGAGTCTTGACTAAGTTACTTTCAAGGCCATTACTGGGCCAAGTACAAAGTATATGAGTTTGTCAAGGAGACAAACAGGATCTTAAAGACAGATGCCAAAAGTTTGCTGTTGAAAGCTACAAATTAGCATGAAGTTCTTTCACAATAAAGTGTCATCTGTACCCTACAAATTCTCCAAACATGAATTCATTTAAACTGGTTCGTACAAAATATACATCTGCTATTACTGAAAAGCTAGGTTGCTTTTTCATAGGTAGTGATATAGAACCTAAATCCAAATCTCACTGAGGTCACAGGGAAGGGTTTTATTGACATTGTTTATGATTACCCTGGTATGCATTTTGAAGGGTGAGGTGGGAATGGGGATAGAGGGCAGGAGTAGATGAGAATTTCACATTAAAATACAGAGAGGTGACAGCAACTGAGGTTATGAGAAGTTTCATTTGAGAACCATTGCACGTACCTTGCAGAAAACATGGATTCCAGCTAGCTTTAAAAGGGAACATAAACATACTAGTGGACTGCAGATCTTACTGCATGAGAAAGGTAATAGTTGGCCAAGTGTACAACAGCATAAATACGTCCTGATTAAGAATAACTATTTTTATGTTTGTATCATGTGTTAAAAGATTAATGAAAATACCAAATCAATAGATCTGCCTTGTATCTGGCTTATCTGTCAGGTTAAACAAACAGATATCAGATTGTAACAATCCACAATTAGCTGATTTCTAGCATTAATAGGGTAACCAGCAGTTACAAAAAAAATAATCATGATAGACATGCAATCATACCTTTCTAATTAAAATGGTATCCTGTTACTTCAAATTATTAAATAAATACTCTTGAAATTACTGCTCAGCAACAATGATGCAAGTACATGTGAAACACACTGTTTAAGGACAAGCAGTAGTGTTACAAGGGTTAAAACTACCCTATCTATTCAGAACATCAGCTTCACATCAGCACTAAGAATGCAAAAGAGAATAATTTAAGTAGTATTTTTAATTCCACTTAAAGAGAACTCCCAAATACACTCAAGGCCATTAAAGTTTTATACTGCACATTAGCTGTTTCTAATAGCTTGTGTGTCATTGCAGGTTTTGAGAGCGTGCCTTTTACCTAACTACCTCTAAAACCAGAAAGATTTAAGTACAAGTCATTCTTACCTTGCTTCTAGATAGCGCCCAGTAACTAACATGAGGCCTCTCAGTGCAATAAAGGTATCCCTTCCCCAGGAGCGAAAAATTCCAGAAGAAAAGTGAGGCAAACCTAAAAAGAAATGTCACTGTCCATCTCATTTACTCCCATGGCAGAAATCTCCAGGCATGCATGTATGTATAAAATAAGCAGAAGTAAAATTAAATTCACATTTGATTTTTATTTTCCTAGATTGAGATATTTAAACAATCTTCTAGATCAAGTTTTTGATGAAAGGAAATAAAACCTCATTTTAGAACAATTATCTTCTAGAATTTCAAGATCGCACAACAGAACTTCTCATATGAATAATTTTTAATTAAATCACTCTAACTTAACCAAGTGCCATCCTTTAATTAAAACAGAATGAAAACTAACGAACAAAAAACCAGAACTATGATGAGATCTACAATGCTTTGTTGGCAAGACTTTATATATGAGAGCTGTGCCATCTCAGAGCATAAAGGGGTTATGACTGGAGACCTATGAATTTCTTCATCCCCAAATAGTTCTCAGGCAGTATAAGAGGAACCCTGCTTCCCTTTTACAGCAGCTTCTAGAACTACATCTTACTGCAGACATTGTAACAGGTAACTTTAAGAATGATTCTGACTTATAAAGCATAGTAATTGCAACAGTATGTCCATCCTAGTCTTTTGTTCCATTTATTACCATTTTCAATCTAACAAACAAAAATTTCCATATGGTAAAGTTTCAAAACATCAGTCTCTTGTGCAGGCTTGACAGAACATTTCAACTTCTATCACTTGCTTTTCCAAAGTATTTGGTAATACTCAAATATGACCATATAATATATGGCAACAGCACTTGAGAATGACAATCCATGCATGAGTTAAAAAATCTCAGACACAACTACCAGTGAATATGTGAGGGGAATACTTAGAACCAAACTCTTCAGTATAATTAATCTTGATGACCAATCTAATCGAACACGGTGCCTCTGCGCTTCTAGGTAACACTAAAGCAACCAAATGGAATGTTACTAAAAAGAAGAAACTAAGCAGTAAAGTTCCATGAGAGAAAGACGGATGGCAAAAAGAAGCAAATAAACAGCCCAGTGAGACAGATGCCATAGAAGCTGTAGATGGTAAAAGTTTCTATGGTTTCTAAAAAGGAATGGGCCAAATCAGAACAAAACTAAATTCATTCCAAGTACACTAAATATAGAAGATAATACTTCTGACACAGGAAAGTGCCCAATTCAAAGGCTGCCAGATGCTGGCAGAACATTCAGAGGTATAAACACTATTTGCTGACTGCTTTACGCTCTTTCCTTAGAGAGACAGTTTCAGATCAGGCATTCTGGTCTGCAAATGGTTCCTTTTTTTCTGAGAAGCTGTAAAGAATAAATTCACTCTTGTACTCCATTACAATTCAGTTCCTTAATTCACATTTAAAAAAAATATATATATACTTAGCATAATAGGTTTTAGTTTATCTGAAGCAAGTCGTCTGGAAAGAGAACATCTTTGTGGATCTCCATATATGATAGAAGTGGATAAAGCCAAAAATGTCTCTAAATAAAGTGCTTATAAGCCTCACCCTGCACAAAAGCAGTAACAAAACAGTTGTTCCCAAGTACTGCTAGATGGGAAAATCTTTAACTTTAACACAAGTTAAAACTCTGGGCAGAAGTGAGGAAAACTGCTACCTACATTCTATTGGTAGTTGCTGACATGGATCCCAAGCACAGTGGAAACAGTTTGGAAGATGGTTGTTTGGGGTTTTGTTTGTTTTAAACGTTGTCCTCACTTACCAGCTGCCAAGGAAACACAACACTGCTCTTTCTCATTTGTAATCTCATTCAGCCTATAGGGAACATCATGTAGGGAAGGAGATAGATCTGGCAGACAAGAATATCTTCCTATCCCACACATCTGGATTGAACCCAAGGAAAGGTGTTTAACAAACGTTGATCCATTCTGCACAAAGCTGTAATACAACATAATTAAATTAACTTTGCATTCAGCAGTATCAGACTATAAAATGTACCTTTTTTAATTTACAGAAGATTATTTTAAGTATTATGCATAATAAAGACAGTAAACTACTAATGATTTACTGTTAGTATTTTGCATTATCTAATTTTGTACATAAGCTTTAATTTGTAAATCACTTTTTTCCCCATAACGCGGGCCCAATGTTAGCCTTAAATTTTAATTTATTAATGTCAATATGAATGTTTATGTCAAATACTTCTAGGGAAAAGAGTAAAAAAAGGGAATCAGTTTGACTTACTTGATGCCTACATACAGACCTAAGGTCTTAAAAATATGATAAAAGATATTTTACTATGAACAAAAGTTTGTCAAACCTAGTATTTTAAAAGATTGACAAATTTTATATCTATTTTATATCTATACCTATTTTATACCTATATCTATACATCTATTTTATATCTATATAAAAATATATAATTGTAAGTCAACAAATCAGTTAACACAGTCTAAAGCAATGCGACCTGCATTTCTGACTATTTCATCTCCAAGCATTTTTTCCATAAATCATACTCCTTTCCACATGGTTTCACAGCCATGCCAAATTCTATGCTGATTTTAACATCCATATTTGTATAAAACAATACTGATTTATTCAGGATTTTCAGAGCTAGAATAAAGCCTCCATTAAATCAATCTCCCTTCCCTTTCCAGTAAACAAAGGAGAAGCAGACACTGAAGATTAAACAGTTATTACAAGAACTAAGCGAAGTGCCCAGATAATGAAGGCCATTTAGCTGTGTTAGAGAAGAAGTGTTGAACAACGCATCAGCATCAAGTACAATCTGGTATTTTCTTTTTTTCCTGAACTTTAAGGAATCATTGCAACTTCTAAAACCTTCCAAACCACCACCATTAGAAGATGAATTCGATATTCACTACCAATTCTACCCTTTTACATGAGTATAAAAATATTCAAATTAAATTCTCCAGCAGATAAAACTTGGTGCAAATATATACAGATAACTCTATAGCTCTGATATGCCAAGCATACCTAGACATCTGATGCCATCCCACATCCAGAAGTGTTGTATAGGCACCCACTAATATGGCATCAAAGTAACATGGGATGAGGTAACGTGGAATTCTCTTTAGGTAGACAAACATAGCCTTCAACCATTTACCAACCTAATAAAATACAATATAATTAGAACTCTATAACACAAAGGTTAAAAAAACCAGTTCTTTCAGGACCCACCTAGTTAAAGTATTTGTCACAGTTTTTGTACATTTATTACACCCCAGCTATCTTCAATTATTAATAACATCCCTAGCATGCAACCAGAAGAAGCTGTCCATGTTAAATATTTGTGGTAGAATTGCTGTACCCTCCTGATCCAAAATGACAACTGAGAGATGAACTCTAAGAGAAGTAGCAGGGGAAAATGTAAGTAACGTCTCTGTAGTATGACACAAATGGGCAAGAACATTAACTATAGAAAGAGATTATATTTTGCTAGTCTTGTAGGAAAATAAAACTATCACAAAAAAGTTTCTAAAACTGAGTAGCAAAGGAAAGCTGCAATTCAAACGGCATCACTACAACCCAAGCGTAGGAAGGAATTTTCTCATTGCTTGAAGAGACAGGACTGAAGAGATGAACTGCCAGACCAGGGACAGGCCGAATTATGTAGGGCCACCAGTGAAAATGACTGCAGATCTGGATCTAGGACTCAGGATTCTGGAGCTTCACCATCCTCGTGTCATCGCAAATTGTTGAACATCCAGGAAGTATTTCTCTTCTTTCCTTCTACTACTGTTAAAGAACATCATGACAACCTACCAGAAAGTCACTAAAGATTTAAACCTTGCAGATGAAGACTGTGCAGCCAAAGGAAAGTACGTGTCAATATAATACATGATGATGCTATACTTTTAACTTGAAAACTGTGAAGGGAAAGTTACTTATGGCAACAGAGAAATGGTAACATTTAGTTTCATGTTGCTTCAGTACAGCTATAGGTACTTCATGTTTTCTGCAAAACAGAATGAGACTCTACAAATTAAGAACTCAAAAAATACACAGAAAAAATAAACAACAGTCTTTGAAGAACAGTAAATCTGGAACATAGCAGACTAACTTCCCTTCTAGAAAAGCTCTGTCTCTGAGGTCTGATTCAGCATTAACATTACACTGCTTTATCCATTCTTCTGTTTAATATCACTACACCTGACTTCATGAACAAAATGAAGTAAGAATGCTGAAACCTTTATTACTATATTAATTATGTCAGCTACCCAAATCAGTTCTTCATCTTGTTAAATGAATAAAGCAATTTCCATGCAGGAAAATAAAATATGACAAAGAAAGAAAAGGACTGCAGTGTAACGTAGCTATACAGGTAACTTGAACTTCAGTAATTCCTATCTTCTAGGTACTTGACTGCAATCTTACTATAACTGTATCATAATCATGTATGCCTCAGTAGTATATAGGCTGTCTTTTGAAATTACTTTAAAAAATGGTTACTTCATTTTTATTTGAGGAAAAGTAATAAACAAACAAGGAAGTACCTCTGCAGGCCTTTACGTAAAAAGCTAACAACCCCTCCAACCTATCTTTCACTTCCATTTTACAATCTATTCTTAAATAGGACTGAGGAGTGGGAAGAAAAACATTAACAGATTAATCTCCTAGAAGAAATATGTTATAGACAAACTGAATTTAAAAATACACCAGTAACTGCAAAGGAAAACTAGTAATTTAAACCCCCAAAGTCACCAAGCAAGTATTTTTACTCACTTCTGCACAGGCTCCTGCACGTGAAATCAGACGATTACTGACATAATCAATCATCCAGTCTCCAGATCTTAAATTATCACAAAAAGGATGACCCAAATCATTCTTTGGTCTAATGTCTGCCATCACTGACATTAACCCTGAAGATACAAACCAAATCCTGTATTAAGACACACTATTATCACAAACAGCAGTTACAATTCAGGAGGAAAAGGTACACAGCAACAGATGCTGTAACTGGATTTAACTGTAATAGTTCTCTTTATCTGCAGAACAAGTTAGGATACAACTCAACTGTAGTTTCCTCAGCCTACATCCTAGGCAGTTATGAAAACCATTGTGGAATAACCAGCATGATGAAATTCATAAATTTAGTAAGTGATTGACATTCCTCAGTATTCCAGTAATGCCTAGGGTTCAATTAATGTGACTTTTCACTGGAGATATATTTATCTTCTTTTTATTTTAAAAGCATATTGAAACTTAATTTTGCAGCCCATAGTACCGAGAGAGAGATTGAGAGAGAGAGAGAGAGAG